CGGAAACAGGCTCCAGGCTCCGAGCCATCAGCCCAGAGCCTGATTCCGATTCTGTGTCTCCCTCTCTCTCTGCCCCTCCCCCATTCATGCTCTGTCTCTCTCTGTCCCAAAAATAAATAAATAAATAAACGTTGAAATTACAAAAGAAAAAAGAAAAAAAAATTCAGGGCACCTGGGTAGCTTAGCCTGTTAAGCGTTGGACTCTTAATTTCAGCTCGGGTCATGATCTCATGGTTCATGGTATCTAGCCCATAGACAGGCTCCCTGCTGTCAGTGCAGAGCCTGCTTGGAATTCTCTCTCCCTCTCTTTCTGCCCCTTCCCACTCACCCTCGCTCTCAAAATAAATAAACATTTTTAAAAAATTCCTAGGGCTGCCTTTTACCATAAATTGCACTGTTTAGATACCACAAACTGAGTGGCTTAAACAATAGAAATCTATTCTCTCACAGTTCTGGAGGCTAGAAGTATGAAATCAAGGTGTCAGCAAAGACATGCTCCAACCCTGTGTAAAATCTTTCCTTGCTTCTTCCTGGCTTGTGGTGGCACTCAGTCCTTAGCATTCCTTGCCTTGTAGTTCAACCCTCCATTCTCTGCCTCTGTCGTTACGTGACCTTCCCTGCGTGTCCTCTCCTAAGGACACCATTTTTTTAAAATACATATTTTTGAGAGACAGCGTGCCAGTGGGGGAGGGACAGAGAGAGAGGGAGAGGGAGAATCCCAAACTCTGCTGATAGCTCAGAGCCAGACACGGGGCTCAACCTCACAAATCGTGAGATCATGACCTGAACCCAAATCACGAGTCAGATGCTCAATGAACTGAGCCACCCAGGTGCCCCTCTAAAGGACACCAATCTTATTAGGTTCAAGGGTCCATCCCACTCCAGAATGACTTCATCTAAGCTTAACTAATTACATCTGCAAAGACCACTTCCAACTAAGCTTAACTAATTACATCTGCAAAGACCACTTCCAAATAACATCACATTCTGAGGTAGTGGGTATTAGAACTTCAGCATATCTTTCTGGAGGATACAATTTAAACTGTAACAACACCTCTGAAAAAAAGACCTTTCCTGAATATCCAGAGCTTCATGCCTCCTCCCAGTGATTCATATGTCACCTGTCTTATTTCCTTCATAAAAGTGTTTGTCTCCATGTTAGTTGTATGCATCCCTCCGTGGGTATATAATCTGCACGAGATCTCAGGGATCGTGTCTTTGTCTTGGTCATCATCGTATTCCCAGAGCTTGGCACATACTAGGCCCTTAATAAATATCCGCTGAAGGAACAAACATGAAAGATGCAAAGCCTCTCAACTTTTGGGGCTCAGAGACCACTCTAAGAACTCCGAATGGGAAATATACACATAAACACATAGAGAAATATTTGGAATTCTTTTTTTTAATGTGTATTTATTGTTTAGAGAGACAGAATGCAAGCAGAAGAGGAGCAGAGAGAGGAGACACAGAATCCAAAGCAGGCTCCAGGCTCTGAGCTGTCAGCACAGAGCCCCACACGGGGCTCAAACTTATGAACCAGGAAATCGTGATCTGAGCCAAAGTCAGACGCTTAGCCCACTGAGCTACCCAGGTGCCTCCAAATGTTTGGAATTCTTTTTTTTTTTTTTTTTAATTTTTTTTCAACGTTTATTTATTTTTGGGACAGAGAGAGACAGAGCATGAACGGGCGAGGGGCAGAGAGAGAGGGAGACACAGAATCGGAAACAGGCTCCAGGCTCTGAGCCATCAGCCCAGAGCCCGACGCGGGGCTCGAACTCACGGACCGTGAGATCGTGACCTGGTTGAAGTTGGACGCTTAACCGACTGCGCCACCCAGGCGCCCCTGGAATTCTTAACTAAGGCCTGAAGAACAGTGTGACTTAAGATTCCCAGATAATTAGTGATGGACTTTGAATTATATTCTCATCCTTGAGGGTTGGAACTTCAATATATCTTTGGGAGCCACAATTCAATTCATAACAACGCCTCTCAATAAAGGTGAAACAAGTCTTGTTCGTGTGCCTGGCTATTATTGATTGGGCTGATTATGAATAAAACCACTATAAACATTTATGTAATTTTTTTAATTAAGAAAAAGATGATTTTACATTAAAATCAAAACTTTTAAATTTAATTTAATCTTTTAGAGTAATCTCTACGCCCAACATGGGGCTCAAATTTACAACCCCAAGATCAAGAGTCGCAGACTCTACTGACTGAACCAGTCAAGCACCCCTAAAATCCTAACTTTTATTTTGAAAAATGGGGAAATCTGGCCATTCCAGTTGGGCTCACATTCCTGCATGGTAATGGGCTGGAACAGAATAAAGATATCTCCTTCACAATGGGCTGGCCAGTGGCCACAGTCCTCACCATGCTCAACTATATTGCCCCGACTACTTCACGTATTTTTGTAAACTGTAGTCCTCAGACATTTGAATTTGAGACTCCCGATATAATATATCATGAGGATTGCAAAACCATATAAATCACTTAAATGGTGAAAAAAAAAAAAACGGAAAAAGGTTTATTTAATTGGGATTAGTGGAATCAAAAAGGAAACATAGGGCCTTGAAGGATGAGTAAAGTGTCATCAAGCAGAGAATTGGGGAAGATGCCCTTTCACTTTGGCTTGCAGTGACTCAATCCAAGCAGGTCCACCTGCCCCAGGCTGCCTGTGGGCAGGAGAGGCTGGTTCTGCTCGCCAGGGAATCTGGGCAGGTGCACCTTATCTGCAGGCTGGCCAGCGGTCAGGCTGCAAATCTAAGTGACTGTTTTCTCTGTGGGGTCAGGACTCAGAATGCATTATTCACGAGCCCTTTTGTAGATCGCAGGGGCTGGCCACCCCACTTGGTGTAGCCAGTGGGTGCCAGAAGTATCAGATCTTACCCGACTGCCACTCTGTCCTGGTTCCTACCCAAAGTGCTTTCAGATTCACTTGTCAGTTCCTTGGAATTGGATCTGGCTCTACTAATGGACTTTGATCATGAGGGGTGAGAAAGTGTGTTATCCTCACACTCTACTTAGGAACCTGTCAGTCTGAGACGTTGTACAACCAGCTGGGAAGAGTCATAAAAGTAGCAAACACAGGGGCACCTGGGTGGCTCAGTCGGTTAAGCGTCTGACTTTGGCTCAGGTCATGATCTCGCAGTTTGTGAGTTCGAGCCCCACATCAGGCTCTGTGCTGACAGCTCGGAGCCTGGAGCCTGCTTTGGATTCTGTGCCTCCTCCTCTCTCTGCCCCTCCCCTGCTCATGCTCTGTCTCTCTCTGTCTCTCAATAATAAATAAATGTTAAAAAAAAAAAAAAAGAGGAAGTGTTTATTTTTTTTATTTTTTTTAATGTTTTATTTATTTTTGAGACAGAGAGAGACAGAGCATGAACAGGGGAGGGGCAGAGAGAAAGGGAGACACAGAATCCGAAGCAGGCTCCAGGCTCTGAGCCATCAGCACAGAGCCCGATGAGGGGCTCGAACTCACGAAGCGTGAGATCATGACCTGAGCCGAAGTCGGACGCTTAACCAACCGAGCCACCCAGGCGCCCCAAAGAGGAAGTGTTTAAAAAAAAAAAAAGTAGCAAACGCATAGAAAGCACTATGTGTCTAGTGCTCTTGTATACACTTTATGTATATGCCTTAATGCATTAAGTCTTCACAACAGCTTGAGGAAGGACCTCTATTCTCCCTGTTTGACAGGTGAATATTCTAAGGCATAGTTTCTCCAACTTAAAAAAAAAAGTTATTTATTTTGAGAGAGAGAGAGAATTCATGAGTGGGGGAAGGACAGAGAGAGAGAGAGGGAGAGAATCCCAAGCAGTCTCCATGCTGTCAGCATACAACCAGTTCAGAGCTTGATCTCAGGAACCATGAGATCATGACCTGAGCCGAAACCAAGAGTCAGATGTTTAACTGACTGAGACACACAGGCACCCCAGTTTCTTCAACTTTTGATATGACCAAGAACTACCTTTTGAAGATCTCGTTAAATGCAGATTCTGATTCAGTAG